TTAACACTCTAACACTCCTCTAACCCACTCCCTAGATGCCAGCCGTTGGATTCAAATCAGCCGTTGCATGCTAATCTTAGTGGAATGATCTTAGTGGAATGAACTGTTAATTAACATTTATGTAATTACCCAGCTGTACCGAATAAATTAACTGAATTTAGTGGAATCTGGTCTATAGTTTTAATTAATTAATTTTTAATTCAAAGGCTTAAATTTAAATATTATTGAATGATTTTGGGTGTGTGTGTGTATATATATATATATATACTATATATTAATATATATATATATATATATATATTATAGTATAATATAGAGGGAGGTGTGATGAAAAGAGGAAATAATTAGCTTGCCAACAAATCTTGCAGAAAAAGGCAAAAAGGAAATCTTTTATCATATAATTGGGCATGTTGTGTGATAGAAAATACCCCTCAAACTTGAGGAAAATTTAATAAGATGGTGGTGACACCTGCAATGCTTTATCAGCAGAATGTTGGCCATTAAAGAGAAGCATAAAAATTAAGTGTTGCAGAGATGAGATTGCTCGGGTGATGACTAACTTTACATTTAGAGACATATGTGAAACTGTATATTATGGCTCCAAAAATTCGAGAGAGAGAACTTTTGATTAAGGCTAGTCGTCAATCAGATAGTAGAAAATACTGTTATCTGGCATATAGTTAGCAGAATGGGTTAAGAGTCTGAAAATGGAAGATTTTGAGATTTGATATTTAAAATTAGAAATTTCACCATCTTGCACTTAAAGATGATGGTGGGGGAATGGATGATGGACCCGATTAAGATCTCATGATTCCGTCATCCCGGGCCATCATGGTCCCTGGTCTACTTAATCAGAGGAGGTAGTCGACCAGAGCCCAACATGGGGTCCTGGTTGGGTACCCACGCTTAGTGCTGGCGGGCTTTGCCCACCCACGCCCACCTATGGTGACTTTCGGGATGTCATACTCACCTACACCCACCCACTTTCCACACTTCTTGAATGCAATATACCACGGATTAATGTCCTTGAGGTTTATTGCCCTTTTCTCTGACTGCAAACTTTCAAGCCACATGTCAAAATTTATCATGGGTGCGGCGTGGTTTAGTGCTGTGCACTGCGTAGTAAGGAATACTGTAATATACTGCATGCATATGGTGATTAATAATGTAAATCGGTTTGTCCCCTGATGTTGAGTACCCACCCATGAGGTCATGGGCATACCCATAGCCACCCATGGCCATTGGGAATGGGTGGGTATGTGGGTGGGTGTGGGTATGGGTAACCAATACAAGGCTCTGTAGTCGACCCAACCTGACAGAATGATCCTTGTTGGTAGCGATGAGTTGTTTCGTCTAAGGGGACCTTGTAGACCTGGGGTGAGTTTTTATCTAAGGGGACAAATTTGAATTCACCTTAGCTAACAGAGGGCTTTATGCTCTATCAATCATATTCTATTGATTCATATCTAA